CTTTCCCTTTCAGTAAAGAAATTAATGCTTGGAATTTGTTTCTCTCCACTGTTGTCTCCTAGGTATTTTTTGTTAGACATTACCATGTTGTGAGACATTGTATTTATATTGGCAAGCATAAAAATCTTGAGTAATTTGAGAGATTTGTCCGTTATATAAGACTATATATAAATAGGGATTTTAATTTTTTTTTTAAATTATTATTATTTTCTAATATGGAAGTAGATTTGGCACTAGAGAATTAAATTAAATACAGTAATTTAAGGATGAGTAAAATGAGTTCTCACAGAAAACAAACTTTCAGAGAAACATAGTTTGCGTAATCTATGCATCTGTTCTCTTTTGATGTTTTACTTTTTTACTAACTTCTGGCCTTTCAGGATATCTCTTTCACCTCACTTTTATTACCCACATTTTCATTTTCTACACTTTTGTACTTTCACACAGGACATCTCCTGTCTGATTCATTGCCAAAATTGCAGTATAAATTCTCTGCAAAACAATCTGCAAGGTACAGAAATAAGTATCAGTTACCCTTTCCCAGTAATTAAAGCATTTTCTCTCTTCATTTCTTTGCATATTATTAATTAAAACAATCCTTTTGCTAATAATCAGTACAAGAATGCTTTCATCTTTCATGCTAATTACTATACTGTTATATTCCAAATCTAAAGACCAAATTAAACACACCTTATATTTAAAGCCAAGAATCTCTTCTTATTTTCTATTTCTTTCTCTTACAAGGGCAAAAAATCTCAACTTACATGTATTTCATGAATGTGCTGCTAAACATTCTTTAAGGAAAACACTTCAAAGAGTTTTAGTAAACCGTGTTTTTAGGTAGCCATCATGATATGAGTTTTTACATTTGCGATCCATGTGCTTAAATCACTACAACTATACTATACCAGTGGGAAAACTGTACTTAAATTATCTTAAAAGTTTTTGTAAGGGTTATCTATACTGGTAAGTCAGAAGACATATTTAGATGGCTCAAGTTTCCTATTTCTGTTTTTCTCATTTGGTAATCAAAATATCCTGTATTTTGCTCTGAAGATAGTCATAATGACTCTTCTTATGACTGTGATGTTTCTCCTATAAATTTTGTGATATGACATTGTACAAGAATTAATATCTGTTTTTTACAGTTGTCAAACATCCCTAGCCTAACTTAACAGTTCTTCAGTTTTTTCCATTGGGAATTTCACTTTTCTACTCAACCATTGTTATTTGTCATAGCTAAAATGAATGACAGTCATGTAGAATACACAATGGGACAGGCTTTTTTTACTTGGATTTTTTTTTTCTTATGGTTTTATATATCTTTTGTATACCTGAAAGCAAATATGTAAGCTAAACATTAGTATTGGACTAGAGGCAGTAATAATTTCACAAGAAGTTGTCTAACTTTGCTGCCTTCAGGCAGGCAGGGCGACCTGAACCAGACTTGAATACTGGTTTTCGGAACATTTGCAATGAATGCCTTCTACTGTCATTTTTTTGCCATATAGATGTGTAAATGTGGCGATTCCAAGTGCACATAAAGATAGGATTATTTCAAGTGAGTTTTTAAAATCTCTGTCTTGAGCTAGCTCATTTTCTAACAGAAGCCATTAAGAATTTTATGAGCAACGCATCTGAAAGCTCTATCCTAAAATTCAAGTAGAGGTAGATACTGTATCTGGTTAGGTCAACAATTATGGATCTAAACGAGCATCACCAGCAGAATGGTTTTCTATTCAATTCTTCTGCGTAAATAAATGAGTATATTGTTTTTCTATTTTTTCTAGTGTGTTGTATTTGCTATGACATCTGGTCAAATGTGGAATCACATCCGTGGACCGCCATATGCACATAAAAATCCTCAGAATGGACAAGTGGTGAGTTGATTATCCCACACAATTTTCACTGCCCAAAGATAAATGGTTATTTATCTTTTTGTAGAAATGTGCTCCCTCACACACTGAAAAGCAAGATTGTTTTTTTCTTCTTTTCAGCCTCCATTTACACAAGCCTTTGAGTTTTGTAACATCTTACCCTCTTTGTTCTTGAGTATTTTAATTAGAAAAGGAGATGGCAAATATTTTCATCTGCTTTTTACCATTTTCTATGATGCCTGTAACTCTTCTACTAAACTTTACAGAATCCTTTTTCCTTTATCTCTTTAGTCCTTCGATTTAAATTCTTGATCAGCTGTACTAAGAAGTTACCAGCAGGTGACTATTGCTGAAAATAATTATATCCTTCAATCATAGTTTATACTGCTGGGCTCATCTACAGCCTCTTGAACATTAGATACAGATAAATCACCCATAAAGCAAAAAAGTAGATACTAAGTCACTCTCCTGAACAGAAGTCAGTTAATGGTGACAGATAAATGTTGCCATCTACAAAAAGTTTTCACCTCCAGTGTTCCCCCAGATTACCTTCTCTGTTTCTCTTCCAAATCTATCAGTCCACTGATAGCAACATGCCTTGGTCTTTGTTTCCAACATTAGACCAAATGTATAACTTATAGAATCATAGAATCATAGAATCATAGAATCTTAGGGGTTGGAAGGGACCTCAAAAGATCATCTAGTCCAACCCCCCCTGCCAGAGCAGGGTCACCTAGAGTACATCACACAGGAACTCATCCAGGTGGGTTTTGAATGTCTCCAGTGAGGGAGACTCCACAACCTCCCTGGGCAGTCTGTTCCAGTGCTCTGTCACTCTCACAGTAAAAAAATTTTTTCGGATATTCACCTTGAACTTCCTATGCTCCAATTTACACCCATTACCCCTTGTCCTATCACTGGTCATCACTGAGAAAAGCCTAACTCCGTCCCCCTGACACTCACCCCTTACATATTTGTAAACATTGATGAGGTCACCCCTCAGTCTCCTTTTCTCCAAGCTAAAGAGACCCAGCTCCCTCAGCCTTTCCTCATAAGGGAGATGTTCCACTCCCTTAATCATCTTCGTAGCTCTGCGCTGGACTCTTTCGAGCAGTTCCCTGTCCTTTTTGAACTGAGGGGCCCAGAACTGGACACAATACTCCAGATGTGGCCTCACCAATGCAGAATAGAGGGGGAGGAGAACCTCTCTTGACCTACTAACCACACCCTTTCTAATGCACCCCAGGATGCCATTGGCCTTCTTGGCCACAAGGGCACATTGCTGGCTCATGCTCATCCTCCTGCCCACCAGGACCCCCAGGTCCCTTTCTCCTACACTGCTCTCCAGCAGGTCAGCCCCCAACCTGTACATGGGATTTTTCTTCCCCAGATGCAAGGCTCTACACTTGCCTTGTTGAACTTCACCAGGTTTCTCCCGGCCCAACTCTTCAGCCTGTCCAGGTCTCACTGAATGGTAGCACAGCCTTCTGGTGTGTCTGCCACTCCTCCCAGCTTAGTGTCATCAGCAAACTTGCTGAGGGTACATTCTATACCCTCATCCAGGTCGTTGATGAAGATGTTGAACAACACCGGTCCCAGTACCGACCCCTGTGGGACTCCACTAGTCACACAATTATTTTACTTGGTCTTTTACTTTAATTATTTTACTTGGTCCTTCCTGCTCACAGAATAGTTCATCAGAGTTCAGAAGGAGAAACTCTTTTCCTACTGGGAAGGACGTTGGCTACTTTCTTCCATTCTTTGTTATTTACCAATTTCAAGCAAGTTGTTGGGGTAGAATCTATGAATCTTGCAATGAATTTGGTGGTCAGGAAGCCTTTTCAAAACTAGTGGCCCATTGAGCTCTTCTCAGCTTTGATCATCGCTGGTTCAAGGAGACTGGCTTATGTCTTAAAGTTACTATTTTTTTTTTGAGTTCTGTGTCATATCTTAATTGTGGTAGCCAAAAAAAAAAGGTGGTTTGAATCTGATTACTGATCAGCTTGTTATCAGGAATGTAACAGTATTGATGTCTCATAAAATGACATTATTTCAAAAAAAAAAAGGTGGTTTGAATCTGATTACTGATCAGCTTGTTATCAGGAATGTAACAGCATATTGATGTCATAAAATGACATTATTTCATCTGTCAACTTTGTTACACAGAAGTAAAACTGATAATGTAATAAATAATTGCTGTAAAGCACTTTATAAAAATTCAGAGTTTTTTATTACTGCCTTGTAGTATTAAATTTATGATGCTTTCCCACAGAGTGGCAGACAGGAGAAATACTGCATAGAAAAAGCACTGCTTGTGACAAATTAGTTTTTATCACATCTAATTTTATACACATTGCCTTTCTTAAAGACCTTTTTCTGAAGTATTACCTCACTTTAAATAATTGTAAAGTGTCCCTTTAATTGTTCCTGAATTTGTGCTATCTTGTCTCAGCTTTCAGAGTGTGAAGTCATACCTTATCCAAGTGTCTGAAAAGATACTGGTGTGGGAGTGTTAACATATACAACTAAATACTGAAAAATAACAGTAAATACAGTTTGAAGTACTAGATACTAGCCTACTGCATTAGTCAACACACATACCTTCTTTTCTGCCTTTGTTCTATTTTATGACTTCAGGTAAGCTATTTTGTGACTGTAATTCACCTGTCTCTCCTTGTTCATACATGTCAGTACTTTTACATCCTTGGAGCTCCATCTGTGTTAGAAAGCAAAACCAATCAGATTCTAAGAATTATAAAAAGTATATATGCAGGATGACCAAGTTCCTCATCTATTTAAGGAACCATTTACAAGTATGGCTGTAGCTTAAAGCTCTGATTTTTACTGGTGTTAGAAGTTTAGTAGGTATTCTGTAAAATTTTTGCCAACTTTACAGTATGGGTTTTGGTGGGGTTTTTTTGTCAAATAACACTATTGAACATTTTCCTGTTTCATTTTTCCAGCACTTATCTATATTCATGTGAATTTGAAGTCATAAAGGTGCTTATCTAACGCTTCTGTGAGATTTATTCAACTATGATAATTCACTGTAACGCTGTTCTGTGTTGTGTAAGCAACTGCTGTCTTTACATCCAAGTGAAATTTAAGTCATCACTTTCTTTACAATGTTTAGGATTTAGTAGCGATTCCAAGTTTTCATTTTATAAGGATTACTTGTATGTAATATTCTGAAACTTAACAGTCTTACCATGCAAAATTCAGGTTTTTTGATGAAGCAAAGGATAGCTCACTAAGGTTAATTGTTTTGTTGTTAGGTTCAAATTTAATAATTCTTAGATTTTCTTATTTCATAGGAGTTAGTGGTTCAGCTGCATAGTAGCTGTAGAGCCTGATATGCCACCAGACTTTGAAAGTGGTAATATTCTGTCTTCGTAAACTATTCCTTGCCTCAGATATCTCCTATTACTTGCTTTGTTCTTGACATAACTTTAAATTATACTTCATTTGTTTTCCTTAAGTTTCTATTTTTTTTCAAAAGATGGAAAGGCATTTGTTTGCTTTGCTTAAACAACACTACTTAACTAGTGCCAGTATCATGTACATGCAACGTTACCAGTTCTTAACATTTTTGGCTTGTGCACTGTATCTTTGATTCCTTGCTTGATTATCTAAACTTCTTTAGTTCTATTCTATATTTTTGTAATTCTCTTCTGTAAGGTTGATTGAGGTTGTTGCAATTACATTCATCATTCCCTATTGCCATCAGCAAATTACAGATTTTGGATCCAGATGGAAATACTATCAATTTTATGTAGAAAGCTGAATCACACAGTACTGCTGCTCAATATTACAGTTACAGTTTTAGGTTAACAAAAGTGGTGCTAGTCTCCTATCTAGTGATGCTAGTATTCTATATCTGTAATATTTTTGGCATACTACATCTTTTGCATAATAATTTTGTTAGGATTAGGTGCTGTGTAACACTAAAATCTGTTACCTATTTTACCAGGATTCAGAGTGAAAACTAAGCATCCCATTGGTATCTGTATATGAACAGTCTTGGGAGAGTTCTGATTTTTATTCAGAGCTTGATCTGTGTAGAACTGGTGGTTAGACAAGGAGAGGGCTGGAGGTGAGACAAGGAGAGGGCTGGAGAAAGCAATTACATATTTTTCAGTCTCTAGCAGAGATAGTTCTGTTGCTGTTTAACTGATCTAATAGCAAAGAATTCTCATTAGGTTTTCATCAGCTTTTAATCAAATAGCAGCAGTAACTAGGAAAGCATTTATGTATATCTGTCCAGGGCCTAGCAGCCATTTTGTTGGTTTGGGTACAAATGCTAAGATTTTTATTGTGCATTATGCTCAGCTGCATCTTTACACAGTTTAAAGTTTGCTGTAGAAAGAGAAGAGGGCAAAGAACAAGCTTGATCTAAGATAATAAAATAAGGTGGTTTCCACAGTTCATAATTTTATTTCCTTCTTGAAGAAGAAATTATTAGAAGTTGGAAAAGGTTTTTTGTGAAGAGGAATATATGAGATTTATTTTTTTTTTGGTCAGATATTAGATGTTTTTTCTGTATAAGCTGATGCTTTGTGAAATAGATAGTGGTGTTATTTGCCACTAAATTAACTAGATTTTTAAAAAATGTGTCTTATATTGTAAAACTTTGTTAAAAAAACATAAATTATGTTATTAGGAAGAAATTTCTATCTGTTTAGCAGATTTTTGAGAAAGAAGACCTTGCAACATCAGATCTAATGTAAGTATTTGTTCAGTAGTGGGGTTTGTTGTCAGCCTTTTTCTTTCCTACTTTTTGCAGTTGTTTAACTATGGATCTTTATTCAGCAGCAGTCTCTAAAATACTTTTAATGGTCTTGCTGATATGGATATGTGGTAATCTGTATGTTTCTGAAGTTAAATGAAAAACGTTAATGATTTTTGCACTTGTCAATGCAAAATTGAGATACTTAGAAAAATTTGTACTTAGAATATTGAGATTCTTAATTCATATTAGTCTTCCACTGTTAGAAGTGTCATTT